AAGATTAATCCGAAACACAAGTGTGAAACTTGTGTTGAAGCGAAGTTGACAAGATCTTCGTTTCATTCTATTAAAAGAAGTTCAGAACCGTTGGATTTAGTGCAAAGTGATGTGTGTGACTTAAAATTATACAATCACGTGGTGGCAATAAGTACTTCATCACTTTTGTTGATGATTGCACTAAGTATTGTTATGTCTATTTGCTCAAAAGCAAAGATGGGGCGATTGACAAGTTTGTTCTTTATAAGAATGAAGTTGAGAATCAAGTAGGCCGCAAGATTAAGGCTCTAAGAAGTGATCGTGGTGGTGAGTATGAATCTCCGTTTATTGAGACTTGTGCTCAATCTGGGATTATCTACCAAACCACGACGCCTTCTTCTCCTCAGTCTAATGGGATTACTGAGCGGAAGAATAGGACGCTAAAGGAAATGATGAATGCAATGTTGATAAGTTCTGGATTGCCACAGAACTTGTGGGGGGAAGCAATTCTTTCTGCAAATTACATTCTGAATAAAGTACCCCAGAAGAAGGTGGACAAGACGGCGTATGAGTTATGGAAAGGCGTTAAGCCTTCGTATAAATTCTTACGAATGTGGGGGTGTCTTGCAAAAGTGGCGATTCCTACACTCAAACGGGTTAGGATAGGCCCGAAATCTGTGGATTGTATATTCATGGTTATGCACATAATAGTGGTGCATATCGGTTTCTTGTTCATAAGTCTGAAATTCCAGACATACACAGGAATACCATCATGGAGTCAAGGAATGCATGTTTCTTTGAAGTCATTTTTCCTTGCCGAACCCATGCAGGGGTTCCAAGGTCTTTGGAGCAATTTGATGAGCTTGCTAGTGAGAATGATCATGTTGATGATCCAGGTGATGATCAAATTGAGATTTTAGATGAGCTCAGACGGAGTAAAAGGGCTAGGACATCCAAATCTTTTGGTCCAGACTTCTTGACTTATATGGTTGAGAATGAACCTCAAACTTTCCACGAAGCTGTGACTTCTCCTGAGAGTCCTTTATGGAAAGAAGCGATCAAAAGTAAGATTGACTCCATCTTACAGAACCACACCTGGGAGTTGGTAGATTTACCTCCAGGTTGTAAGCCTTTAGGCTGCAAATGGATTTTTAAACGAAAGATGAAGGCCGATGGGTCAATTGACAAGTATAAGGCGAGACTTGTTATCAAAGGATACAGGCAACGAGAAGGCCTGGATTACTTTGATACGTACTCACCTGTAACTAGGATAACATCCATTCGC